TTTTTTGAAAATATACAGTAAGGTTCCATATTACCACCCGATTTTCTCTAAGCCTACTTTCTGACTTTTTGTACAGAAGCCTTCAAAAATCATACTTATAGTTACAATAACGAAAAATCCAATTAGGAACATTTAGTTTAATAGTTACAAGTACTTTTTGCACAAAAAATGTGGGTGTAGTTATGATACCTTGTTTACAATTCACTAAAATGTAATTGGGGTTCCATAATACCATAAATACCATAATTCCATAAATGTGGGTGTAGTTATGATACCTTGTTTACAATTCACTAAAATGTAATTGGGGTTCCATAATACCACCTTCTCCTCTGTTACATTACAGCCAATCTTACCCGTTTTTACAGAATGCAAGAATTAGGTTCCCCTGTTTCCAGACTAATCAGAAAATTTTTAGATAGATCTAAAATTATGTTCGATTTAACGCAAAAAAACCGTATCTGCGCCTGTAAATCTTGCACGTTGCTTTCTCTTAACACTTCCATTGTTGAAGCCTTAATTCTGTCACTTTCCCCGCGGGGGAATTTCAAAAAATCCCTTGTTAGTGTGGGTTCTCGTGACGTACCCTAAAGCCGGATGCACACATGCGGCGCAGCAAGGAAAAGCGGTATCGCAAACGCATCTTCGCCGCGCGGCTGCACAGCCACACAAGCGGCAATCCGCTTACATTTCGGCGCATGCGTTCAATATTCAAGATGGCGAACGATACCGATATTGTCGCTATCCACGTGTTTACAAATTTTGTTTTGTACGGCTTGCTTTATTTAGTTAGAAGATTTTGTCGAAGATTCGAACGAAGATTTTGAATTAGAGATATTTTCTTGGATTGATAAAGAACTGATGTATAAAATACGCTTATTCCTCGATAAAGAATACTATTTCGAATAAGATTTGGTTGTTCTGTTCTTTGAATTAAATTATATATGATTATTTGTGTAGAATTTGTGTTAAATTTATTATCCTTTCCTCTTTATTCTGATGTTAGTTATCTCGGTTAACCATATCGAACTTTCCGCCATTAAAACACTACGTGATTGTATTTTCTCACGTGACTACCAGACGAACTGTTATTGGCTGATAGAAATGCGTCTTGGCGGCAGTTGCCGCAAGAGATAAAATTCAACCAACTTTTGCGGCACGAGAAAAGCGACACAAAATCGACTACTGCGGCGAGAAAAAGTGGCGTCATTCTGCCGCTTTTCCTTGACGCGCCGCATGTGTGTATCCGACTTAACTGTGTACCAAATTTCAAGTTTCAACTCCTAACCTTGCTGAAATGCTCGTATACACGCGCGCCATGTATCGAATGATAAATGTACTATGCCAGAAACCTTCGCGGGAATATATTAAACAACTTCCCAAAGTTTCATGGCAATCGGATAAATGGTGTAGTAATGCATGAAGGACAGACGGACAGACATACATTCATTTTTATATATATAGATAAACAGTCAAATTTAACTGGGCACTTAATTAATTAATTCTGCTCGCAATATTCTGGTGACGTGGAAACCAACCTTTAGGCATTAGTACACTGCAAGAGATATGGCACAGCAATGTTCATTAATTGTATGGCAGATTGGTTATTTTTAAATTATTGGTTAGTTTTAAATTAACAGAATTCAGTTAATTTAAAACTAACAATACCTTGCAGGTAACCTACTTCATAATACCAAACTGACCTGGTAACTGTATTTAAGAACCGTTATTCTAGAGCCAGCTGGCCAACCATGTACATAGTATAAATAGTGTATTCGGAATTTTCAAATATAATAAAATTTCTGTAATTATCACACCTATAGTAGTTATTCAGATATATTTTGTTTCAATAACAAAAGCCATCGCTGATCAAGCATAAATAATTCTACAGATGGTCGCATTCATATTTGGAAATTCCGAATATCCCCTAAAATATACAATTTTTCGATCAAATACGTTAAGAACACACTTAAAAATTAATAACGTAAAAAATTTTTGTAATAATCTATAGGTTATATATACAGTATACTGTTTACAGGCCTATTTACATATAATCATTTAACTGAATTGTATTATATGATTATAACAGATTCTATTTTTATAACACTTGGAAATCATTATGTGCAACAGAATTTTATTGTAGCCTACACAATAATTTCCAACATTTTCGCTCTATTTCCCGTTAGGTGCAGGCAATGCTGTTTGTATTTTTGACCTCTAGGACTAAATCCCGTTAGGAGCGCTCAGCTTCATCAGAGTGTACGAACATTGACTCCACTATATATCGAAAACAAAGCATTAGGTAAAGTCAAGGACCAGTATTTTTTACATTTAAATGGACCCTTGTTACATTTTTGGATTCCTCGTCGTAATTAATGGAAAATGGCAAAGTTTCATCAAAATCGAACAGGTTTTTGAGAACGAACACAATTCTGTAAGCCACATAGAAGAGGCTTGGGTAACAATCCGTCTCAATAAATTTAATTTTTATTTATGTACTTCAATAAGTTACAAATAAATGATGAAAAACCCGTAAAAATCAATTTTCTTTCAAATGTGAACTTGTGAGTTGGAAAGTACTATTTCAGTAACTTTCTTTTTAACAGAACTGATTAGAGCTGCAGCTGTGTAGGGTTATGAGGTGGCTAAGCCCCGTCAGTTTAGTTAACAGTGCCCATGTGCTCTATGTGCTATATGATTTCATTTTCATCATAAATTCAGGCTAGTTATTTATTTTTTACACTTGGACTGTAGCTAATAGGCCTAGTGCTAGCTGTAAAAGATAAAAATACCAGTTGCAATTTTTTTCAGTTTGTTTCTCTGGCTCCCTCAAAAATTTACTCCTGGCTATGAGACTGCCTGGTTATAATCATTGATAGCATTTGACAAACCTTGTTTATACACATTTAAAATTAATTATAATTAAGACTAACACAATAAAAAATATTTCTGTAATTTTATATTTTTCTTAATGAAATAGTTACATCCATTGATAACAAAATAAAAAATGAAGTTTTGTTTTTATTAAATAATGACATTAAACATCTTTAAAAAGTTTGAGATCAGATCTCTTTGGAAAATTAACAATTTATATTACTTTATTAAATATATATTATTGTTGTTATTACAAATGAGATTAAAGCAGTCAGTGGTTTAAAACTCTGAATTTTTTCAAAATGCAATGAACACGATACCAAAAATATAGTGAATATGGAATTAATTGACTTTTTTGTTTTCTTCCTGTTGTCTTAAGCAATCTTTTATGATTTTATCAAAGTTTTTGAGACAGAATACACCTATTAGACGAAAGGGTCCCATCAAAAGAATCTAAAATAAAAAAATTAACATTAAAATTTGATATTAATTATATGTCTAAGGATTGAAAAATAAAACTTTTAACACATTTTGGAATAAGGTAGAATAATGTGACCAGTTTTTAAAGGAGTAAAAGTCCTATATTTTAATGATACATTTTCATTTTTCAACATCATCATTTAGTGATACATTTTTCCAATTGTTCAATTTGTGTTTTCCTCTATACATTCCTGTACCGCAACATCTGACTAACTAGAAATTTGACAGTACCAGACCTATGTCGTAACAAGAATGCAGAATAATGTTTACACGCTATTCTATATATCTGCATTTATTAAGTGTCTTTGCTGTTTTCTTACTACAAAGCATTATTCCTTATCTGCATTTTTCATGCAACCCAGAATTGGACCATCAGAATTCTGACTGTTGCAAAAATTAAGTGTTGAAAGATCAACACTTCATTGGATACCAAAGTTTGAGTTTCTGCACAGAAATGGATTGAAGAAAAATCAGAAAGTTTTTTCATGCATAGAATGGAAAAATTGACTGGAATGTTTGAAAAAAATGTGTAAATAATGATTATGTTGTAAATGAATATATAAAATTTAAAAAAAAGATTTTTTTTACTACTTTTAAAAACTGGTCACATTATCCTCTTCCCAAACTAATTTTATAGAAATAGAGACCTTATTTGATCAATCAATCCTGATATATACTCTAACTTGTAAGTATAAGCAATCATATAATTCACATGTGATAAACATTAAGACTACTGTTTATATACTGTTTCAACAGTATATTAATATATAAGTAATAAACAGAACAAACAACTTATTACTTAGATATAAATTAAGTATTACTCTTACTGTTACTGACTTTAATAAAATTATTTCTTAATTTCTGAAAATTATCTAAAAAATAAAGCTAAATCTGTGAATATCTGCTTTATTTTTTATTGATTATATTAATATCAATATATATAAANCACTACACTCAACAAGCCACCAATAAAACTCAACTGCCTAACCTATAACCAAAGTCTCCTTTTAATTTGTTTTTTAAAAAAAGCGCTTGACAAACTTGCCCAACATGCCGAAGTTGCCCCGATCTCCCCTAAAAATTTCAACGTTTACATAGTCAATCCTGAAATCACTTCTAAATTTTCCATGTAAAAGTAAGAAAATAGCGTGAAAGAAACTAATAATAGAGTAGATTTCATATTTTTCTAGATATTCTTTCATTTCAGGAAATGAAAATGCTGCTGTAAAAGAAACATCTGCTTCGAAAGACCTTTTAAAGAATATGTCCATATTAACAGTTTTTAAATGGAACTCAGTGCGTTTAAATATAATAAAGGAAAATTAACTATGCTGTTTTTCCTACCTTAGAAAGAAAAACCTTTACACCAACAAAAACTTTTCTTTTCTCTCTTTCCCCGACTGTAACTGGGCTTAGAAATTTAAATATTATCTGGAAAATGTCCGATACTGTTCTCTATGTTTGTAACTATGATTCGCTTGGAAAAATAGAAAATATCAAATTTATGAGAATGAAATACAGTGGGTGATCGGTTAACGAACATAATCCGTTCCAAGACTTTGTTCGCTATCCGAATTGTTCGTTAACCGATTATCGATTTACCATAGGTTTCTATGGGAATTTAATTAATTCGTTCTGGAGCCCCCAAAATAAAAAATACATACATTTTTATTACGTTTATTTATACGTAATAATAAAAATACATACACACACAGTCTTGCATTTTTATTAGTCATGTTTTTTTTCCGTTTGAAATGGTTAAAGAATCTGTCTAATGTCGCTTGCTTTTCCCTCTTCTTCAGGATTTTTCGTAAGTAATTAATAGCATTGCAATTGTAGAAATCCCCAAGCCTCAACCTGGTTTAGATGCCATTCTAAGACCGTTGTTCTGACATCCTCCCACTTCTTCAAAGGATCTTTAATA